CGCGGCCGCCGCGCTGCGCCTGGCGCTGGACCAGCTGTCCGCGCTCGGGCTGGGGGGCGCGCGCCCCGGAGATGAGGAGGGGACGGCGACGCGCGGCGCGGACGGGGCGGCGGAGCGCGGGGACGAGGGGCCCGCGCCCCCCGACGAGCTCGAGGCGGCCGCGGCGCCCCCGGGGACGGGTGCGCCCTCGATGGGCGTGGGACCCTCGATGCCCGCCGCGCCGTCCATGGCCGCGGCCGCCTCCGGGACTTGTGCGCCCTCGATGGCCCTCGCCCCCTCCGTGACTAGTGCCCCCTCGATGGCCGTGGGACCCTCGGTGACCGTGGCACCCTCAGTGACTGTGGGACATTCGGTGACCCTGGCACCCGCGATGGCCGTGGCTTCCTCGGTGGCCCCTGGCGGGCTGCCCCTTCTGGACCCCGACGTGAGCCCCCGGCCGTCGCCCCCAGACGTGTTCGCCAGCTTCGCGCCACACCCGGCCGCCCTGGGTCCCTCGACGCTGCTGGCCGAGCAGCTGAACGTGATCGGCAGTCGCAAGAAGAGCGTGAACATGACCGAGTGTGTGCCGGTGCCCAGCTCGGAGCATGTCGCGGAGATCGTGGGTCGCCAGGGTGAGTGCCGTCGGGGGATGCGGGGCGCAGTTATTCTCGCGGCTAGATGTCAAGGGGGGTGTGTTTGGGGGGAGAGGAAGGGACAAGCTCTGGCCCATTCTAGCCGCTTCGCGGATGCGACCAGAAGACCCCCCGGGACACGCCCCGCGTGGGTTCTGGGCCCCGGCGGATTCCTTGGCGCCTTTGTTCAAAGCTGCTGGCTGCTGCAGAAGTTGGGCACAGCCCAAGCCGTGGCCACTGCTGCCGCCTTTGTCTGGGTTCCTAGGGACGACCACGGCCCACGTGCCCTAGCTGGGGACACCCTGAGACACAGGCCCCTCAGAAGCAGCCAGGGCTGGGCGGGGGGTGCTCCACGCCCCGCAGACACGGGGCGGGGCCAGCCCGGATTTGTTAGCCCAGGGAGGGTGCCCTGAGGGTCAGGATTGAAGTGTGGTAGTTTAGAGGGCGCCTCCCTCACCTCCCTAGCTTGAGGTCCACATCGGGGTGCTGAGGTGAGGGCTGGAAAAAAAAGGGCCCTAGGCGTACCCTGAGTTTGGAAATCTGGGGTTTATAGGAGGGCCTCCTGCTAACGAAGCTCTCCGTGGGGTGCGCTCTGCCCATCCCGATAGGCTGACCCCCAGCAGGCCCCCGGCACAGGGATCCAAAGCTCCCCAGGGGATGGGGTCCCCGCTGCAGCACCGTGGAGCTGGGGAGTGTCTCTGTTGCCCGCCCCATTGTTCTCTTTGTTCGAAAGCCAGGCTGAGATTCGCACGGTGACATCAGGCCAGCCGTTGCTCATTGGCCCTTGAGCTGCCGGGGCGGGCAGGAGGGTGGTGGGCAGTGCCCAGCCCCTCACACACCCACAAGCCTGGACAACGGTGGCTCCCAAATTTCCCCTGCCCTCCCCACCCACAGCAGCCCACTCCTAGCACCCTCCCCCCACTAAGAAGGGGGGGATCAACCTGGTCCTAATAACTTTAGGGTGGGGCTCGGGCATTTCCAGACCCTCTGAAACTGAGGAGGGTATGGGTGGGTTAAACTGCAAGCTTAGCTGTCACTGCCCAGCAGGCCAGGGAGTACCTCATGGCCGCCTTCCCTAGTTCCTGGTGGGTGGGGCCGAGCCCGTGTGTTCCGAGACTCCTGGGAATGGACCGGGCTGGGCAGGGGCTTGTGCCGAGCCGGAGCGAGCGATCCAGCTGTCCCTTTTGTGTTGGCCGCTTCCCACGCGGCTTCCCTCCCGATGCCAACCCCCTGTACCTGTCCAGAGCCCGTGTGGACGAGTGTAGCTATGGAGGCCTGTGATCCTTTATCCCAAGATCACCTGGCCACCGCCTCTTCCTGGAGGCGGGTCCCACCGCAGTGCTGTGTGAAGGTGGGGGATCAAACCCAGAGCTTCCCCGATGAGTACCAGTCTGCTATGTTATCGGGACCCAGATTCGGGGGGTTGTCTTTGGTCATTCGAACCGTCCTGGTTCAGTGTGGCACCCAAGTATCTCCTGAGTAAATGGGCGCAGTCAAACCCACGTGGAGGGCACCCTGAATGTGCCAGCCTCGGGGCCCTTCCCCCTGACCATCTGTGGCTCCCAGCTCCTCCCACCCAAGTGCATCCAGCCCAGTTGGCTTTTTGTTGCCATGATAAAACGCTGGCCAAAAGCAGCTTGGGAGGTTTATTTTGATCTTCAGCTGTAGCCTTTCACTGAGGGAAGTCAGGGCAGGAGCTGCTACAGAGCCTGGAGAGTGCTGCCTGTGGGCTGCTCCCCACACCTCGCCCAGCCCGGCCTGCTTCCTTACACACCCCAGGACCAGGTGGCCCAGGATGGCCCCGCCCACAGCGGCCTGGGACCGCCCCATCAGGAAAATGCCCCACAGTCATGCCCGCAGGCCAGTCTGTCGGATGCAGTTTGTTGGTTGAGATTTCCTCTTCCCCAGAGTACCTAGGTCTGTGTCAAATTGACAAAGTCCTTGGCGCTCTTCCTCTGCCCTCAGGCCCCTGAGCTCACGCCCCCATTCTTCCTGCTCACAGCCACCTATCAAAAGGCAGATGATGTACATCCTCTCCCCTGAGATGTAACCCGCCTGGCTCCGTATCTGACCATAGAGCCGCAGGGAACCAAGGCCAGTTTGTCCCTGGTACCGTGCTGTCCCTGAGCCTCATTCTTTTCAGATGTAGAATGGGCTGTAGGGTATTTTTTGAACCACGCCCCTAGCCCTCACTGGGTTTTTCTAGGCAGAGGCTCCGCCCCTGGCCACGCCCCCAGCCTTTCACTGGGGGACCCCAGGCAGGGCTCCACCCCTGAGCCGCACCCCCAGGACAGTGCGCATCCTGGCCTGAAGCCTGGGCTCTGTGTTTTCTTTGTAGCCCCGACTGACCTCCGTTTTGGGCAGCTCTTCCTCAGCCCCCTGAGCTGGCAGGTGGCACGTGTGTGCCAGCATGCCCTGCTCCTTGTAGCCCCCTGGTCCTTAGAGCCCTACCCGCCCAGCCAGGGAAGGAGCTTCAGGCGGGAGTGGGAGGGGTCCGTGTCCTCACTTACTGCCTTCCTCTCCCGTGGGGTCACATACTGGTCCACACCGCCACCATCACACACAGCTGAATCCACACCGGCAGGGCCTGCCCCCCGGCCTTTGAAGAGCAGCTCCAGTGGGGAGGAGCAGGGGCCAGGACAGCCAGCCTGGGGGCAAGCCTGGGGCCCTCTGGGGTATCAGTGCAGAGACTTTGGGGTCTCATGTTGCTTGGGGTCCCGTGGAAAAAGACATGGAGCCCAGTACTGGGAATGGTCCCTCAAGCCCTGCCTAGCCCGGGAGGTGGCGGAAACTCTGGCCTCACTTCCATTTACTACTTTGTTCAGAGTTGGAGCGCTGCTGAGCTAAGGGCCTCGGGTCTGGTCATCTGGGCGCGTCCCCCTGGTCCGCTCTCATTAAGCCTGCTGATGGAGCTGGAGACGGGAGCGGCCCTGTTGCCCTCTGCTGCCCTCAGTGACACGTGCCAGCCACCGCTGCTGGGGAGCCACCGAGGGAGCCCCTAGGCTGTGGGCTCTCCGGGATTGTGCAGGCCCCCGGCAGGGGCAACCTGGGCCATCAGGCCGAGCTCTGGTGCCAGCCTGGCAGCACGCACTGGCGTTAGGGGCTCTAGGACCAGGTGGGCTCTCATGGAGTTCAGGCTGGCCTCAAACTCACCATAGCTGAGCCTCACTCAGGCCATCCTCCTGCCTCCACATGGCCCATGCTGGAGACGAGACAGGGCGTCACTGGCCCCGGGCTAACCTTGAACTTGTGGCAGTCTTTCTGCCTCGGCCTCCCAAGTGCTGGGACAGCAGGCTGTGTACCACACTGCCCTTGAGGGCCAGTGGACTCACTGAGGACGCCGTGGGCTCCTGGCGTTCCTTCTGAGCCCTGATCACCGCTTTCCGGCTAAGACCAGAGCGCCAGGGTCGGGCTGCGGGGTGGATGTGCCTGGCTCCCCTCCTTTTAAAACTATTTCTTCATTCATTCCTGGGGAGTGGCACAGAGGGCTTCCGCTGCCCCGGGCCTGGTGGGTCAAACCTCAGTCCTCAGGAAGGAGGCCCTGCGAGGCCAAGCCAGCATGCCCTCCTGCGCGGGTGGACGCTCACCCAGAGAGGCAAAGAGGGTCGGAGCAGGGAGTCCCTGTGCCGTCTGGGTGGAGGCTGTGGAGGATGGGCATCAGGCTTGGGTGCTGACGTGTCTCCCGTCTTCCTAGGGTGCAAGATCAAGGCCCTGCGTGCCAAGACCAACACCTACATCAAGACGCCGGTGCGCGGCGAGGAGCCGGTGTTCATCGTGACGGGGCGCAAGGAGGACGTGGAGATGGCCAAGCGGGAGATCCTGTCGGCCGCCGAGCACTTCTCGCTGATCCGCGCCACGCGCAGTAAGGCGGGCGGGCTGTCGGGGGCCACCCCGGGCCCCCCCAACCTGCCGGGCCAGACCACCATCCAGGTGCGCGTGCCCTACCGCGTGGTGGGGCTGGTGGTGGGGCCGAAGGGCGCGACCATCAAACGGATCCAGCAAAGGACGCACACATACATCGTGACCCCCGGGCGCGACAAGGAGCCGGTGTTCGCCGTGACCGGCATGCCGGAGAACGTGGACCGGGCGCGGGAGGAGATCGAGGCCCACATCACGCTGCGCACCGGGGCCTTCACCGACGCGGGCCCGGACAGCGACTTCCACGCCAACGGCACCGACGTGTGTCTGGACCTGCTGGGCGCCGCGGCCAGCCTCTGGGCCAAGGCGCCCCACCCGGGACGGAGGCCCCCCGCGGCCACCAGCAGCCTGCGCGGGGACGGCGCCCTGGGCGCCACCAGCACGCCCGAGCCCTTCTACGTGGGCGGCCGCGGGGGGCCGCCGCTGCCGGACCCGAGTCCCAGCAGCCCCTACGGGGGCTCGGGCAACGGGGGCTTCACGTTCGGCGGGGACGGGCCCGGCGCCCCCGCGGGCACGGCCACCCCTGAGGACTGCGACTTCGGTTTTGACTTCCTGGCGCTGGACCTGACGGTGCCCGCCACGGCCACCATCTGGGCGCCCTTCGAGCGCGCCGCGCCCCTGCCGGCCTTCAGTGGCTGCGCCGCCGTCAACGGGGCCCCCGCGCAGGCCGCCCCCGCCCGGCGCAGCAGCGGAGGCGCCGCCACCACCCCGCGCCACTCCCCCACGCTGCCCGAGCCGGGGGCGCTGGGCCTGGAGCTGCCGCTGACTCGGCGCGGCATCCCGGATCCGGTGGGGGCCGTGCCCTGGCGACCCCCGCAGAGCTCCCTGCCGCCCTTCTCCGGCAGCACCACCTTCTCCGCGACCCCCTCTCTGCCCAACACCACCCCGGCGTCCTCCACCCTGGACACTGTCGCCTCGGAGGCCAACCACAAGCCATCCGCCACAGCGGCGAACTCCTCTGCGTCCGCCGCGGCCCTGGCCCGCGAGTGCGTGGTGTGCGCTGAAGGCGAGGCCATGGCCGCCCTGGTGCCCTGCGGCCACAACCTCTTCTGCATGGACTGCGCCGTCCGCATCTGCGGGAAGAGCGAGCCGGAGTGCCCAGCCTGCCGCACGCCTGCTACCCAAGCCATTCATATCTTTTCCTAAGGCCCCGGCGGCCCCGCGGGGAGGCCCCGGGCCTCGGGACGGGAGAGGAGGGCAGGGCCGGACGCGGGGGGTGGGGGGGGCGCGGGCAGCGGGAGGCGCGGGCCCCACGCGTGTCGCAAACAGCTTTAACTCCTGCAGCAGGCGTCGAGGCCATCAGCTTGCGGCCCAGCGGCAGCGCCTCCGTTCTTGACAAGTGACAGTATTGAGTGAGCCGGTGACAATGAGCCGGAGAGTTCTCTGTTTGCACTTTTATTAAGACACCCCTCCCCGTTCCCGGGGTGATCTTGAAACAAAAAATAACACGATATTTACAACTCTCACTGGATTTAACAGTGTGGATTCTTGTAGAAACTTCCAGAGAAAGGCAGGTGGCATCCCTCCTCCCCCCAACACACACACTCCCTTTTTTTGGGGCAAAATAATACCATTTTGTACATCAGCCACGGGGTGGCCGCAGGAGGGGGAGGGGAGGGTATCCGCGGGGCGTCCAGTCGACAACTTCCTATTTGTTCTGTTGTGGTTTCTTTGTTTTGTTTTTTTTTTAAATTAAGAACTCAGTGTTGCAGTTTTTTGTTGTTTTTTAAAAAGGTTTTTAAAGTTTTTTTTAACTGTTATTTTTACTTCATACTTCCTGTGTATATGTAGGGAATTTATATTAGATATATGTACTTTACGGAATAAATTTTAAGAACTAAAATATATTTTATTTTAAATAAAGCAACGGACCTTTAATCTTTGACAGCTAAATCACTGATTATATATTTGCTGAACTGATTTAAGGGTTTAAAAACATTGTATCCAGAGTTTTATTTTTGGACTTGAAAGCCTTCTTAATAAAGTTGTTTTCCTATATGTAAGCGCTGGCGTCCGCGTGGTGTGGGAGGAGGGGACCCCCGAGGACAGGGGTTCGAGTCTGTGCTCGGCTCCAGCGCCCCCGGCGGGGGGTGCAGGCACTCCCCACAAACGCAGTCTGGGATGAGCGGGGCTGTGAGGAGCAGCCGGGCCCACTGCCCTGTGCCCGGATCCCCACCATAGTCACAGCCCCTCACTGGGAGCCGGCCCCCGGAGGAGGGCCCTCTTGGGCGATATCTGCCCAGTGATCCTGTGGGACCCCGCCTCCCGTCCCCGCAGCCCCGGGATCGGCCGGGGCCGGCAAGGCAGCCTGGCGAGGAGGCAGAGTGGACGGTGGCTGGTCGGTGGACACCGGCCCGTGCGGCCGCTGGCATGGGTGTCCCGCTGTGCTGACGGCAGGCCAGGGCCAGAGCCGGGGAGGAGGCCTCCGTAGCCCAGCTTGGCGAGCCCCGAGTTCTCTTGGTGTTCCAGGAGCGTGGGTGCGGGTCCACCCCAGCATGGGCGAGGAGGGTGGGCGCCTTGCAAGCTGGGCCCCCCAACTGTTTCCAGCTTCCTCACCAAGGGGGAGGCCCGGCTGCCCCTCAGGCCTCAGCCTTCCCGGGTGAGGGACACAGACTGTGGCGAACTTCTGCCTCGCTCCTGGCCATCGTGCTCCTAGGCACTGCTACCCGGCAGGAGGCAGAGGCCCCGGGAAGCCAGGCCTGCGGAGGAGGCGACAGGCAGAGAGGAAAGCGGGACAGCCCGCCCGCGTGGCACCCCTTCCTCCGTGAGGACCAGGTGGCTCCTCTGGGAGCTGCGGCCCTCACGCCACCACATGGCAAAGAACCTCCCGTTAGGCCCTGTGTCCTGAAGGGGCCTTTCCAGGAGTGATTAAGGTTGAGGGGTGAGGCCCGGCAGGACTTTCAGGCAGAGGCGGGCAGATCTGAGTGTGAGGCCAGCCTGGTCTACAGAGCGAGTTCCAGGACAGCCAGGGCTGCACAGAGACCGCGTCTCGAAAAAACAAAAACCAAACAAAACGAACAGACAAAAGAAGGGTCTGGAGGTCATCCTGGCTTAGGCTCCGGATTCTGTGCCCGTGCCTGAGGGGGGAGAGATTGGAGTGTGATGGGCGCCATCTGCCCGGATCTCAGCACTCGGGAGGCTGAGGCTGGACCACAGTGAGTTCTGAGCCAGCCTGGGCTTCATGAGAACCTGTGCAACAAAAGGAGGGAGGCTTACGGTGGGGCCTGGGCTTGGTGAGCACTTGCTGCCCATGCCTGGAGCACGCACAGGGTCCAGAAGGAGCACTATCTAAGGCAGGCCTGCAGAACAGGAGGCTGAAGCAGGAGAATTAGGAGCAACAGCCCCAGGACGCTCGGCCGCAGCCTCCGGATCACAGAACCAGTCTGGCCTTCCTGATGCCTCAGAGACTCCACGGACACCAAGGCCATGAGGGGGAGAGGCAGCTGCAGGGCGCGTGGGCACAGGATGACCAAACTGCAGGCGACAACACCCCAACACCCCCGGAGCACCACAGTTTGCAAAGGAAGAGAAAGTGAGCCTGAAGGGTCAAGGGCAGGGTGGAAGGGCCTTCAGGAGCAGATCTGGCAGCACAGGCTTTGTGCGCAGGTGCCATGGGTGCTGGGACCCTAACTCAGTCCTCTGTGGGAGCAGCCGGTGCTGTAATGTCGTCTTCAGCATCGTCGTCCTCCTCCTCCTTTCCCCCCTCCCCCTCCCCTTCTCCTCCTCCTCCCCACCCCTTCTCCTCCTCTCTATCCCTCCTCCTTCCCCTCCTACTTCCCTCTTCCACCTTCCTCCTCCTCTTCCCCTCTACCTTCTTCCTTCTCCTCCTCCCCCTCC